ACAGCAGAATTCTTGTTTTACGGGCACATCTACATGCACTTGTCACGCCAGCCTATCCTGTACAAACGGCAGCCCAAGAGTATTTGTTAATTCTCATGCTCCCAGAAGAGGGAGTTCTAAAGCAAAACATTATCGTTGTCGCTCGATCATGGACATGCCCGCCTTCATCTTTCACCCAAGTGTTATACTGTAAGCATGTAACATCTTTATTATGAAAAGAAGCCACATGTGCTAAGAAAACCTCCAATGTCTAGAGTCTTATCTACACATTTGCTGTAACATTTTATTGTTTTACAATTTTATATCAATTTACAGTAAGAATGGCACAAGCCTGTAACATGGATAGAGTCACATCGATGTAAAAACTCCTTACACATGCAAATTTAAGTTCACATATACTTAGAATGGGTCATTTTCTCTATCTGCTGACTCTGCTAATGTAAACTCAATCTATAGCTGCAAAAAAGGGCTGCTGCTTCTGAAATTTGCTTTGCCATCTTTTCTGATTCTGTAAAATATACTTAGACTAGAAGGATTTCTTTTTCACACGATAGTAGTGGAGATATTTCAACTGTTCCATCCACTCTAATTTTGCATTTCAAACATGGAACAACCTTAATATTCGTAAAGCTTCTTTAAAGTGCTAGTTACCAAGCTGACTATAACAAAGACAACTAAATAAGAATTTGATTAATATTTTAAAAAGTAAAATTCACGCAGTAAGGTTAAGCAGAGGCCTTCCAATTAACTTACTTGTGATATTGTAACCGTCCTCGATTTTCTTGACACTTCGATAGTTTTCTGTGTAATGGAAACATGTTCCTCCCTGTCGTCTTCAGGACTTGGTGAGTCAAAGAAATCCGGGCTTGAAAGGGAAGACTATGCAGACAAAACACAAACACACACCCAGGAGGGGAAAGAAATGCAGAGAATCACTGAGTAAGAATTTAACATAGGTAGGAAAAAAAAGTGTTCAATAGATAACTCTTTTTTTCTAAGATACCATTTTGGAGGGTAAAAAGCAAAAAAAAAAAAAAAAAAGTTAAAAATCTGGACACTACTCCACTTTGGTTTCACAAGCCACATGATTTTCAAGGCTAGAGCACTTTTCGAAGAGTCCTGGAGTGGCAAATTGGAGCTCGAGAGCCTTGGAGCTAGATTCAGCACGACGCTGCACGTTTGCAGCCGCTGCTTTACAAGCCGGGAGCAGCCCCTGGCCGCGAGGCGAGCTCTGGCCCTGCGGCTCCGCCCCCCCCGGCGGCTCCCCCC